GGTAGCCATCCTTATATCAGCTAAATTAAAGTTTATCCCAAAGACTGTAGTAAGAGATGAAGAGGGACACTATATCATACTAAAAGGATCTCTCCAACAAGAGGACCTAACAATCATGATATTTATGCCCCGAATGCGGGAGCTGCCAAGTATATCACTCAATTAATAACCAAAGTTCAGACATACTTAGATAATAATACACTTATATGTGGACACTTGACCATAGTGCTTTCTGCAATCGACAGATCTTCTAAGCACAGCATCTCCAAAGAAACAAGCGCTTTAAATGATACACTGGACCAAATGGATTTCACAGAATTTTACAGAACTTTACATCCAGACGCAACTGAATACACGTTCTTCTCAAGTGCACATGGAACTTTCTCCAGAACAGGCCACATACTGGGTCACAAATCAGGTCTTAATCGATACCAAAAGATTGGGATCGTCCCCTGCATATTCTTAGATCGTAATGCCTTGAAATTAGAGCTAAATCACAAGAGGAAGTTTGGAAGGATTTCAAACACGTGGAGGTTAATGACCATCCTGCTAAACGATGAAAGGGTCAACCAGGAAATTAGAGAAGAATTAAAAAGATTCATGGAAACCAATAAGAATGAAGATACAACCGTTCAAAATCTTTGGGATACAGCAAAAGCAGTCCTGAGGGGGAAATACATCGTAATACAAGCATCCGTCCCAAAACTGGAAAGAACACAAATACAAAAGCTAACCTTGCACCTAAAGGAGCTGGAGAAGGAACAGCAAATGAAACCTTCACCCAGCAGAAGAAGACAACTAATAAAGATTCGAGCAGAACTCAATGAGACAGAAACCAGAAGAACTGTGGAGCAGATCAACAAAACCAGGAGTTGGTTCTTTGAAAGAATTAATAAGATAGATAAAACCATTAACCAGCCTTATTAAAAGAAGAGAGAAAAGACTCAAATTAATAAAATCATAAACGAGAGAGGAGAGATCACCACCAATACCAAGGAAATACAAACGATTTTAAAAACCTAGTATGAGCAGCTTTATGCCAATAAATTAGGCAATCGAGAAGAAATGGGTGCATGTCTGGAAAACCACAAACTACCAAAACTGGAACTGGAAGAAACAGAAAACCTGAACAGGCCAATAACCAGGGAGGAAATTGAAGCAGTCATCAAAAACCTCCCAAAAGTCCAGGGCCAGATAGCTTCCCAGGGGAATTCTATCAAACGTTTAAAGAAATCATACCTATTCTACTAAAGCTGCTCTGAAAGATAGAAAGGGATGGAGTACTTCCAAACTTGTTCTATGGAGCCAGCATCACCTTAATTGCAAAACCAGACAAAGACCCCATCAAAAAGGAGAATTATAGACCAATATCCCCGATGAACATGGACGCAAAAATTCTAAACAAGACACTAGCCAATAGGATCCAACAATACATTAAGAAGATGATTCAGCATGACCCAGTGGGATTTATCCCCGGGATGCAAGGCTGGTTCAACACTCGTAAAGCAATCAATGTGATTGATCATATCAGCAAGAGAAAAAAACGGGAGTCACATGATCCTGTCAATAGATGCAGAGAAAGCATTTGACAAAATAAAGCATCCATTCCTGATCAAAACTCTTCAGAGTGTAGGGATAGAGGGAACATGCCTCAGCATTTTAAAAGCCACCTACAAAAGCCCACAGCAAATATGACTCTCAATGGGGAAACACTGGGAGCCTTTCCCCTAAGATCAGGAACAAGACAGGGATGTCCACTCTCACCACTGCTATTCACCACAGTACTAGAAATCCAAGCCTCGGCAATCAGGCAACAAAAAGAAATAAAAGGCATTCAAACTGGCAAAGAAGAAGAGTCAAACTCTCCCTCTTTGCAGATGACATGATAGTGTACATAGGAAACCCAAAAGACTCCACCCCAAGATTGCTAGAACTCATACAGCAATTCAGCAGTGTGGCAGGATACAAAATCAATGCCCAGAAATCAGTGGCATTTCTATACACTAACAGTGAAACTGAAGAAAGAGAAATTAAGGAGTCAATCCCACTGACAATTGCACCCAAAAGCATGAGATACCTGGGAATACACCTAACGTAGGAGGTAAAGGGTTTCTACCCTCAAAACTACAGAACACTTCTGAAAGAAACTGAGGAGGACACAAAGAGATGGAAAAATATTCCATGCTCATGGATTGGAAGAATGAATATTGGGAAAATGTTAATGCTACCCAGGGCAATTTAAACGTTTAATGCAATCCCTATCAACATACTATGGACTTTCTTCAGAGTTGGAACAAATCATCAAGATTTGTGTGGATTCAGAAAAGACCCCGAAAAGCCAGGGGAATATTAAAAAGGAAAACCAGAGCTGGGGGCATCACAATGCCAGATTTCAGGTTGTACTACAAAGCTGTGGTCATCAAGACAGTGTGGTACTGCCACAAAACAGACACACAGATCAATGGAACAGAATAGAGAATCCAGAAGTGGACCTTCAACTCTATGGTCAACTAATATTCGACAAAGCAGGAAAGACTATCCACTGGAAGAAAGACGGTCTCTTCAATAAATGGTGCTGGGAAAATTGGACAGCCACATGCAGAAGAATGAAACTGGACCACTTTTTAACACCATACACAAAGAAAAACTCAAAATGGATGAAAGATCTAAATGTGAGAGAAGAATCCATGAGCATCCTAGCGGAGAACACAGGCAATACCCTGTTTGAACTTGGCCACAGCAACTTCTTGCAAGATACATCCATAAGGCAAGAGAAACCAAAGCAAAAATGAACTATTGGGACTTCATCAAGATAAGAAGCTTTTGCACAGCAAAAGAAACAGTCAACAAAACTAAAAGGCAACCTACACAATGGGAGAAAATATTTGCAAAAGACCTATCAGATTAAGGGCTAGTATCCAAGATCTATAAAGAACTTATTAAACTCAACAGCAAAGAAACAAACAATCCAATCATGAATTGGGCAAAAGAGAGGAACAGAAATTTCACAGAGGAAGATACAGACATGGCCAACAAGCACGTGAGAAAATGCTCCGCATCACTGGCCATCAGGGAAATACAGATCAAAACCACAATGAGATACCACCTCCCACCAGTGAGAATGGGGAAAATTAACAAGACAGGAAACAACAAATGTTGGAGAGGATGTGGAGAAAGGGGAACCCTCTTGCACTGTTGCTGGGAATGTGAACTGGTGCAGCCACTCTGGAGAACTGTGTGGAGGTTCCTCAAAGAGTTAACAATAGAGCTGCCCTACCACCCAGCAATTGCACTGCTGGGGATTTACCCCGAGATACAGATGCAGCAAAACGCCGGGACACCTGCCCCCCAATGTTTACTGCAGCAATGTCCACAATAGCCAAACTGGAAGGAGCCTCGGTGTCCATCGATAGATGAATGGATAAGGAAGATATGGTCCCTGTATACAATGGAATATTACTCAGCCATTAGAAACGACAAATACCCACCATTTGCTTCGACATGGAGGGACCTGGAGGGTATTATGCTGAGTGAAACGTGACAATCGGAGAAGGACAAGCATTATATGGTCTCATTCATTTGGGGAATATAAAAATTAGTGAAAGGGAATAAAGGGAAAGGAGAGAAAATGAGTGAAAATATCAGTGAGGGTGACAAAACATGACAGACACCTAACCCTGAGAAATGACCAAGGGGTAGTGGAAGGGGAAGTGGGCAGGGGGTTGGGGTGACTGGATGATGGGCACTGAGGGGGGCACTTGGCGGGATGAGCACTGGGTGTTATGCTAAATGTTGGCAAATTGAACTCCAATAAAAAAAAATTACAAATAAAATAAAATAAGATAATAAAATAATAAAATAAAATAAAATAAAAATGAAATAAAAAATACAAAATACAAAATATAACAACTATGAACACTAAAGTTTCCTGAGATAACATAAAATGTATCCACTGTTGGAGGTATTTGAAAAAGTAAAGATCATCCTTCTGGAAATAACTTTGTATACTCTATGGGCAACTTTTCCTTCCTTATGTTTCTCTAATGAGAAATCATCTTACAAAAAGAATGATAAATTATGAGTTTATTCATTTGGCATGTGTCTCTATTCTATGCTTATACTTTTTTAAAAAGATGCATCAGAATCCAGAAAAAAGTTTTTATATTTTTAAGAGTCCTGTAGCTTAAAAAAATTTTTTTTCATTTAATGGCTAGAGATTAAGAACCTCACTTACCTAAGAAAAAATTTCAGGTTTAATTAATGAAAAGACTAACTAAAATGTTTATTTATGTCCTCTCTTTATTCTCAAAAGATCTAAAATCAACCAAGATTATACCACACAGTAAGTTTAATTAGAAACCACAAGAAAGACAACGGCCAAAATTCAAAATTCATAATAAATCTGATTATGACTTAAAACAGACTTTACTTTGTACTATGTATAAACACAACTTTTGCTAAATTAAATATAGGCTATCATACTTTATTAAACTTAAAAGGATAAAATTTCCTTCCAGTTCTTCATAAAAACCAGCTGTCATTCAGAAGAATCTGAGCATTTTTTGTATTGCAGACTTTCTTTTATTAATTTGCATTTAAAATAATTTCTACCATATTTTATAATATACAGCATCTGTTCTCCCTTAGCCTCACTACTGCTGTTTTTGTAATAACAATCTCTCTAAACTCTATCTTTACATTCATCTCATCCATCTTAAATGAATTCTTACTTACCCCACAACCCCTCCCTCATCTTCACACCCATCTAGCTATTCTTTCCAGTTGCTTTCTAATTCTTTCTTTCCATGATGGCATACCTAAGGTTTGTTTATTCCCACCAACAGTTATAAATCTCAACCCAGTACTTCTCTGTTGTTATTACACTGTTTTCTCTTATATTCTTGAGGGCTTCCATTTCTCCCTAAGATTCTTTTCATTATAAGGATATCAAGAGGATGGTAGGTGAAAAAACATGGGGGGAAAAGTTCAAAACAACTTACCTTTGTAACATCACGCATTGCTAAAGATGTTTGAGGAGTTTCAGGTGATACAAAAGCAAGAGGAGAATAGTCAGAGACATTGACTGATGGTTTCAAAAGAGTTTCAGTCTTATCTTCACTTGCAAAATTGTCAGCAAATAAAAGTCTACATTCTTGGCTCAAAATGGCATAGTCTGCTCCTATTTAGTGAAAAAGTCAAGAGTACATGAAGATGTCTGTAACTTCAAATTACTAAATAACACAAAAATGGACAAAACTCAGTGAATAACACAAATCTTCAAATAGCTTACCCCTGGCTCGCAGAAAAGCAGCCATCTGCTCTCTTAAGTTTAGTTGCGGGACAGTCTAGAAAAAAATTGATAGTTTTCAGGATTACAAGCATCACATTTCGTAAAAATAATTGTAATATTCACCATTACCAGATGAACACCATTACAAAAAGAACACAGGTTTTGGAGATCATTCAAATAGAGACTGAAAACTCAGTTCTGCCATTTACTAACCTACATTTTCTCATGGAGTGAAGATTATAAGAGATTTAACAGTCCCAAAATGTTACTTTTCCCACCCCTGATTATTATACAAAGTCTTCCTCAAAAAGTTAAAAATAGAACTATCCTATCACCCAGCAATTGCAGTACTCAGTATTTATCCAAAGGATACAAACATAGTGATCTGAAAGCCCACCAGCACCCCAACGTTTAAAGCAGCAATGACCACAATAGCCAAACTACGGAAAAAGCCCAGATGCCCATTGACAGATGAATGGATAAAGAAGATACGGTGTGTATAAATACAATGGAATCAAAAAGAATGAAATCTTGCCATTTGCAACAATATGGATGGGACTAAAGAGTATTATACTAAGTGAAATAAGTTAGTTAGAGAAAGACAAATACCATATGATTTCAATCCTATGTGGAATTTAAGAAACAAAACAGATGTGCATAGGGGAAGGGAGGGAAAAATAAGATAAAAATCAGAGAGAGACAAACCATAAGCGATTCTTAATCATAGGAAATAAACTGAGGGTTCTTGGAGGGGAGAGGGTTGGGGCAATGGGGTAATTGGGTGATTGGCATTAAGGACGGCCCTTGAAGTAATAAGCACTCGGTACTGTATGCAACTGATGGATCACTAAATTCTACCTCTGAAACTAATAATACACTATATGTTAATTAATTTGAATTAAAAAAAATTTAAATACTTTATTTACCAAAATAACTTAAAATAAAAATTTATGCCTAAGTAATTTAAACTCAAAAAACTAACAATAAGAAATGTCATTATTGGGATGCCTGTGTGGCTCAGTGGTTGAGCATCTGCCTTCGGCTCAGGGTGTGATCCCGGAGTCCCACATCAGGCTCCCTGCACAGAGCCTGCTTCTCCTCCCTCTGCCTCTGTCTCTGCCTCTCTCATGAATAAATGAATACAATATTTTTAAAAATTAATTATTTTATTAGCTTTAAAAATTTTTAAATGTGCATGATTTATAATTGCATGACTATCTCTTATAAGAGAAAATATTAAAATTAGTTTTTAGTAGTATTTATTTAGGCAAGTTGGCATTACAAACAGTTTAAGTTGCTTTTGTTTGTCAAAATGCTAAGGACAAATGATTGTTTAACATCAGCTCCTTCCAGGAAAGTGAGAGAAATAATAAGCCTTGTGGGGTAATGATTCAGGAATGAAAACCACAGACACACAGACAACAAAAAGCCGTAACCAAAAATATTGACAATGAACATAGAAAGAGATGGACTGAAAGAACAGACACTAACACAGAAGCATGAGAGACATCTAACTCTGGGAAACGAACAAGGGGTAGTGGAAAGGGAGGTGGGCAGGGGGTTGAGGTGACTGGGTGATGGGCACTGAGGGGGGCATTTGGGGGAGTGAGCACTAGGTGTTATGCTGAATGTTGGCAAATTGAACTCCAATAAAGAAAATTAAAAAAAAAAACATAAAATGACAAGAAGCAAGCCATAATACATAACACTAAATTCAGAGCAGGAAAATTAATTTTACAAGAAAGTACTTTACCTTGGTACGAGGACTTAAGTCTTCAATTGATGAAGGCCATGAATTATCAATATCAGCTTTATCAGAAAGACTTTAGAGCAAAAATATAAAACAAAGACAAGTTCATTTCTTTTAAAAGAAAAATCAAGTAAAAGGTCAACTGTTTATTAAATGAAGTTTCTTGAAATACGAAAATTTAGCCTCGTTTTTGTTAAGCTTTTTTTAAATTCCAGTACCCTAACATACAGTGTTACATTAGTTTCATACATACAATATAATGATTTGGTAATTCCATACATCACCCAGTGCTCATGGTGACAAGTGCATTCCTTAATTCCCATCTCCTATTTCACCCACTCCTCTACCAACCTCTCCCCTGGTAACCATCAGTTTGTTCTCTATAGTAGTCTTCTTCTTGGTTAATCTCTTTTCTGTCTCCTTCGCTCATTTTTGTTTCTTACATTTTACTTAGGCGTGAAATCATATGATATTTGTCTTTCTCTGACTTACACTGCTTAGCATAATATGCTCTAGCTTCACCATGTCATTGCAAATGACAAGATGTCATTCTTTTCGATGGCTGAATATTCCATAGTGTGTGTGTGTGTGTGTGTATACATATATACACACACACACACACTTCTTGTTTATTCACTAATCCATCAGCATGCACACTTAGGCTGATGATTGCAAATAATGCTGTAGTAAAAACATGAGGTGCATGTATCCCTTTGAATTGGTGTGTTTGTCGTTTCTGGGTAAATAGACAGGAGCGCAATGACTGGATTGTCAGTAGTTCGGTTTTTAACTTTTTGAGGAACCTCCATACGGTTTCCCACAGTGGCTGTCCCAGTTTGCACTTCCACCAAAAGTGCAACAGGGTTCCTTTTTCTCCACATCCTCACCTACACTTGTTTCTTGTGGTTTTGATTTTAGCCATTCTGACAGGTGTGCAGTGCTATCTCATTGTAGCTTTGATTTGCATTTCCCTGATGACGTATGATGCTGATCATCTTTTTACATGTCTATTGGCCAACTGGACATCTTCTTTAGGAAAATGTCTGATGTCTTCTGATCATTCTTGACCTGGGTTGTGTTTCGGGTGTTGAGGTGTATCAGTTCTTTATATTCTTATACTAACCCTTTATCAGATATGTCATATGCAAATGTCTTCTCCCATTCTGTAGGTTGCCTTTTAGTTTTGTGGATTGATTCCTTCACCGCAAAAGCTTTTGATTTTGATGTAGCCCCAAGAGTTTATTTTGCTTTTATTGCTCTTGCCTCAGGAGACATAACCAAAAAAATGTGGCTACAGCTAATACCAGAGAGATCACTGTCTGTGCTCTCTTCAAGGATAAAATGGTTTTATGTGATATATTTGTATCTTTTGAATTTATTTTTGTAAATGGTGAAAGAAAGTGGTCCTGTTTCAATCTTTTATATACCCATTCAGTTTTCCCAGCATCATTTATTGAAGAGACTGCCTTTTCAAACCACTGGATATTCTTTCTTGCTTTGTCAAAGATTAATTAACCATATCGCTATAGGTTTATTTCTGGATTTTCTATACTATTCTACTGATTTTTGTATCTATTTAATGCCAAAACTATGCCGTTTTGATTACTACAGCTTTGTAATATAACTTGAAATCTAGCATAGAGATATCTCCAGTTACGTTTTTCTTTTTCCAATATTGCTTTGGCTATTTGAGGTCTTCAGTGGTTCCATATAAATTTAGGGTTGTTTGCTCTAGTTCTGTGAAACATGTTGATGGATTTTAATAGGCTTTGCACTAAATTTGTAGATTGCTTTGGGTCCTATACACATTTTAACAATAGGTGTTCTTCCAATCTATGAGATGGAATTCTTTCCATCTTTGTGTCATCCTCAATTGCTTTCACCAATGTTTTCAGAGTACAGGTCTTTCAAAATTTGGCCTCTGTGTTATTTTTTAAGATGTTGTTTATTTATTTGAGAGAGAAAGAAAGAGAAAGAGTGCACAAGTAGGCAGAGAGGCAGGCAGAGGGAGGGAAAGAAGCAGGCCCCCGGCTGAGCAGAGAGCCCCATACTTGCCTCTATCCCAGGACCCTGAGATCATGACCCAAGCCAAAGGCAGACGCTTAACCGACTGAACCAGCCAGGTGCCTCTTGGCCTCTGTTTTTAAAAAGGGTTTAGTTATCTATTTTGCTTTCACCTCTCCTAACCTGTGAAATACCCAGTAAAGGCTCAGTTTTAGTTCCCATAACTAGTGTGACAGATAAGGAATTCTCTGAAATGTTTGACAGCTAACTAGACAAAAGTTAACCACCATTAATTATCACCTTCCACCTGTCAGAATGACTAGAATCAAAACCACACACAAAAAAATAAATATTGGTGAGGATGCCCAGAAAAAGGAACACTCGTGCGCTGCTGATGGGTATAGAAATTGGTGCAGCCACTGTAAAAAAACAAAATGGAGTTTCCTTGAAGAAGTACAAATAGAAATACCACATGATCCAGTAATCCACTACTGGGTACTTACTTACCCAAGGAAAAAGAAAACACTAATTTGAAAAGACATATGTACCCCAATGTTTATTGCAGCATTATTTACAACAGCCAAGATACGAAAGCAACCCGTGTCCATCAACAGATGCATAACACACACACACACACACACACACACACACAGCAATATTACTCAGCCATAAAAAAGAATGAAACCTTACCATTTGCAACAATATGGATTACCTGGAGGGTATTAAGCTAAGTGAAATAAGTCAGAGCTAAATAGACAAATACTGTATGATTTCAATTATATGTAGAATCGAAAAAGCAGAACAAATGAACAAACCACCAAAAAGCAGAACCAGGGATCCCTGGGTAGCGCAGCGGTTTGGCGCCTGCCTTTGGCTCAGGGCGCGATCCTGGAGACCCGGGATCGAATCCCATATCGGGCTCCCGGTGCATGGAGCCTGCTTCTCCCTCTGCCTGTGTCTCTGCCTCTCTCTCTCTCTCTGTGTGTGACTATCATAAATAAATAAATTTAAAAAAAAATTTAAAAAAATACAAAAACAAAACAAAAAGCAGAACCAGACCCATAAGTACAGAGAATTCTGTACTGCCAGAAGGGAAGTGGGTGAGGGACAGACAAAATGGGTGAAGGGAAGTGGGAGGTTCAGCATTCCAATTATAGTAAGTCACAGGGATAAAAGTACAGCATAGGGAATATAGTCAATAGTATTGTAATAGCATTATGCAGTAACACATAGTAGCTACACTTGTGGTAAGCATGGGGTAATAATATAGACCTGCTAAATCACTATGCTGTACACATGAAACCAACATAACATTGTGTCAACTACACTTAAATTTTTAAAAAGATCTACAAATGTTAAAGAACAAATTTATATGTTATTAGTGGGAATAATATTTCCAAAGAGATTAAAAGATTAAAAATTATAAAATCCAAGTTTCACAAGTCCTGCCTTATTTATGTCCACATAAACTAGCAAGACCTTAAAAATCATCAAGGGCACTCAGATACCCAAGAAGAGGGACTGCTATAAAAACAGTCCCGATATCTGTACCTCTATTTCCCCACACACTGCGTAATATTTTCTTTTTGTGAGCTCCCACTCCTGGATCACTCCTCTGCAGGGCTCAGTGGCACTCTCCAACGTTTAAGTCTTTAGCCTGCCAAGGCACAGATTCCCAAAACAAGGAAAGGCTCAAATGACCAAGAATAGGAGCCATTTCCTGCTCCTGGAGAACCAGCTAAATGGAGTCTGAGTCATCCATGCAGTCATCTCAATGTAGGCATGTTACCAACTACCCAGATGAAGCTTCGTTATTGATCTGACAGCTAGTCCTACCCCACCAAACCCTACACATACACGGGAAGGGCATCAGAGAATTACAAAAAGAGGTGGAGAGATCACAAGACCACTACCTTGGGCCATACAGCTATATAGTTCAGAATCTCCATTCCCCCCATTATTTGAGAGGATCTAAGCCGCATTCTGTAAGGTGGGGTAGAAGTCGATGATATCCCCATTCCTAATTTGCTGTAAACACTCTTGCCAGTGGCTCAACTGATTTTAGTGTTTCTCAACAGAAACCCTGAAGTAGGGCAGCCGGGTAGCCCGGTGGTTTAGTGCCACCTTCAGCCCAGGACGTGATCCTGGAGACCCAGGTTCGAGTCCCAAGTCAGGCTCCCTGCATGGAGCCTGCTTCTCCCTCTGCCTGGATCTCTGCCTCCCTCCTCTCTCTCTCTCTCTCTCTGTGTCTCTCATGAATAAATAAAATCTTAAAAAAGGAAAGAAACCCTGAAGTATGCTAGTTCCTTCAATTAAACCAACAAAAAGAAATGCTGCTCCGGACTCTCTTGAACGCTCTATTTTATTTTTTTATTATCATTTTTAAATAAATTTATTTTTTATTGGTGTTCAATTTACCAACATACAGAATAACACCCAGTGCTCAGCCCGTCAAGTGCCCCCCCCAGTGCCCATCACCCATTCACCCCCATCCCGTGCCCTCCTCCCCTTCCACCACCCCTAGTTCGTTTCCCAGAGTTAGGAGTCTTTATGTTCTGTCTCCCTTTCTGGTATTTCCCACACATTTCTTCTCCCTTCCCTTATATTCCCTTTCACTATTATTTATATCCCCCAAATGAATGAGAACATACACTGTCTGTCCTTCTCTGATTGACTTACTTCACTCAGCATAATACCCTCCAGTTCCATCCACGTTGAAGCAAATGGTGGGTATTTGTCGTTTCTAATGGCTGAGTAATATTCCATTGTATACATAGACCACAGCTTCTTTATCCATTCATCTTTTGATGGACACCGAGGCTCCTTCCACAGTTTGGCTATTGTGGACATTGCTGCTGTAAACATCGGGGTGCAGGTGAACCAGTGTTTCACTGCATCTGTATCTTTGGGGTAAATGCCCAACAGTGCAATTGCTGGGTCGTAGGGCAGGTCTATTTTTAACTCTTTGAGGAACCTCCACACAGTTTTCCAGAGTGGCTGCACCAGTTCACATTCCCACCAACAGTGTAAGAGGGTTCCCTTTTCTCCACATCCTCCCCAACATTTGTGGTTTCCTGCCTTGTTAATTTTCCCCATTCTCACTGGTGGGTGGTGGTATCTCATTGTGGTTTTGATTTGTATTTCCCTGATGGCAAGTGATGCAGAGCATTTTCTCATGTGCATGTTGGCCATGTCTATGTCTTCCTCTGTGAGATTTCTCTTCATGTCTTTTTCCCATTTCATGATTGGATTGTTTCTTTGCTGTTGAGTTTAATAAGTTCTTTATAGATTTTGGAAACTAGCCCTTTATCTGATAGGTCATTTGCAAATATCTTCTCCCATTGTGTAGGTTGTCTTTTAGTTTTGTTGACTGTATCCTTTGCTGTGCAAAAGCTTCTTATCTTGATGAAGTCCCAATAGTTCATTTTTGCTTTTGTTTCTCTTGCCTTCGTGGATGTATCTTGCAAGAAGTTACTGTGGCTGAGTTCAAAAAGGGTGTTGCCTGTGTTCTCTTCTAGGATTTTGATGGAATCTTGTCTCACATTTAGATCTTTCATCCATTTTGAGTTTATCTTTGTGGATGGTGCAAGAGAGTGGTCTAGTTTCATTCTTCTGCATGTGGATGTCCAATTTTCCCAGCACCATTTATTGAAGAGACTGTCTTTCTTCCAGTGGGTAGTCTTTCCTGCTTTATCGAATATTAGTTGACCATAAAGTTGAGGGTCCACTTCTGGGTTTTCTATTCTGTTCCATTGATCTATGTGTCTGTTTTTGTGCCAGTACCACACTGTCTTGATGACCACAGAACACTCTATTTTAATATGCTTTTCTAAACAACACCCAATATATTGATCTTTGTCTATCTTGTCATAAACCCCAATATTCTGACATCATTTCAAAAACTCTTTTTCCTATTCAACCCAGTGTGGTTCTTCTTGAAACATGCCGTCTCCTAATTCCCTTCTCGTGTACACTAGACCCACTCCCTATCTTTATATTATTAAAACATTCACCTACAAGATGAGAGAAAAGGGGAAAAAATCTAAATTTAAATCTCATTTCTGTCACTTATCAAATTCAAGTAAGTCACTTTAATCCCTTTTGAGTTTCAAATTCTCCACTTCAACCACCACTTGGTAAGGATGTTAAACATGGGTTACAGCATCAGAGAGTATTTTGATTAACACATCTCTAAGATTCTTTAAAACCCTGAAATTCTATCTGCTTTTCATTTTGTCTGTAGAAAAATGGAGAATCCTTAGCTGGCAGAAATGATAAAAAAGTAATGGAATAAAAGAAACAGCAAGAAAAACTGGAGAAGTTAAAAAAAATCAAGAAAAGAGTATAGAAAGGACATGGAGAAAAGCAAAAAAGTCTACAAAAATAGAAAAAGCTTCACAGAACTTATCAAGGGTGCCAGCCTAAAGGGAAAATTAGACTGAGAAGTCAGTAAATAGACAATTGTTAGAAATATCCTCTAAATAGATGATAAATTTAATTAACATACCATGGTCTATACCTAGATTACATATCCTTCACTTTCAGAAAAATCATTCATCTCAAGGAGAGCAGATGTCACTATATGTAAGAGCTTGCCAGATTAGGGCTTGCTTATGTAAAAGCTATGGTACTGTGGCCATAGGTAACTGAGATCCACTCCAAAATCTTTGACAGTAAAAACAAGAAACTAGTTACCACCACAATACTTATCTCTAGCTATCACTAGTTGTGTCAAATATATTAGGAGAATGCTTGGACTTGCCTGGTTCTTAAGAAAATTCTATTTCAGAGTTAACATGTAATGAAATTTGACATTCTGGGATGATCTAAGATCTGTATCTTAATTCCAGTCCTGCTGAGGGGCAAAAAATGTATGTGGGAGCCACACAGAGCTACCATTCAAATCATGGGTCTGCTACTCATTAACTATGGAATCCTGGGTCAATTAATCCACCTCCCTGAACTACAGCTGACTAGTTAATAAAAAGTAGGCTATAACAGCACAGCCCCTTGGTGAAACTATTGCAATGACTATGTAAGTAATACGTATTAAGCACATAATATAGAGTCTAGCCCAGAAGACAACACTCAACAAATCCTTTCCTCTCCACTCCCTTAGTTAACACATCATTTTTAAAAATCCATAAAAGTCCTACCTGCTTACGGAGTCTTCTTCAGACTTCTCAGCCACTAGTGAAGAAAGCAGCAAAATACATTTTAAGTCAACAATAGAAAAATACAGAATATTAAAAGTGTAAGACCGACGATGATTGGTTAAAAAGTATTCCTTTGGGACCACACCTAGAAACCACACTACAGTGGATATTAACTGTACTATTGGTAGGCAGTTAATGCATTAAGAAATCTCATTTTCTCCTCTTTATTTACCAAATGCAAGAAAAGAATTCTAGTTATCAGGATGTGGTACATACAAGTGGATGTTTCTAATGACCATTATTGTAACCAAACCCTATGAGACTGACAGGAAATGGTATCATTAGCAGAATCATTATCATAAAGTGACAATGGCAAACTTAAATAGCATGATTTTCCTGGACTTCCACTAGTAGGAGCAGTTAAAACAGACTATACATATTTGGCTGTAGCACAACGGAACTTCTTCAGCTCCTCAGTAGAGACTGCTAAGTTCAGGATGAAACACCTCATCACAAAGTTTGGCTCGGCTCCGGTCACAATCTCGGGGTCCTGGGTGGAGACCCTCAGGGAGTCTGCTTTTCTCTCTCCCTCTGCCCTTCCACCTCGCTTGTGCTGTCTGTCTCTCAAATAAATAAACTCTTCTTAAAATCTTTTCTAGAGAAAGACATAAGGCCTAGAAAAAAAGAACATTTTAAATGGAATGAATTGAGCCTCCTGACTTGTTCAGTAGAGAGGGCCGAAAATTTCAAAATGGACTGATACTTGGCTAAGGAAATAAAAGCTTTCTTTGTCTTCCAGTATCTTTAACTTGGTATTCTTCAATCTATCCTCCACACAAGACGCCTGCAAACTATGGCCACAGGCCAAATCCAACCTGCCATCTGTTTCTGTAAATAAAGTTTTAATGGAGCACAGTCACATCTATTTCAATACATATTGCTATGGCTACTTTCACACTACAATGGTAGAGTGTGAGACCCCAGGGCCTAAAATATTCACCATCTGGCCCTTTTAAGAAAAGCTTGGTGATCCCCATTTTATGCCATAACCAAAGGGCCCTAATTCAAATCTAATCTGATTATTCTTCTGTTTCAAATTCTCCAATCAATCCCTGCTGGCTCCCTCCCCAACAGCCATTCCATATTCTTTATTCTTGCTGGAGAACCACAGCTTTATTTGGATATTTATTGTCCCAATACACAAAGAATGTGGTCTCACCCCAGCTGCAAAAGGAGAAATGATTATTCTAAGCTAATCACAGTACATGATTTACCAGTGACTGCTTTAGGAACAAGCAAGTCATGTTACCTAGCCTATAAAATGTTAGGGGAAGTTTACTGCAAGCCGCTGAGTTTTCTTCCTATATAAAAGAAACATAGAGAAAAAAAACACAGTTCTTCTGGTCAGTGGATATTGTCATGTGAAAATATGCTTGAAGCTGTTGCTAATTAGCCAAGCAGGAAAGGAGACAGGGACCCCTGGGTGACTCAGCAGTTGAGTGTCTGCCTTTGGCTGAGGCCCTCATCCCCGACTTCCCGGATCGAGTCCCATGTCGGGCTTCCTGCATGGAGACTGCTTCTCCCTCTGCCTGGATCTCTGCCTCTCTCTGTCTCTCATGAATAAATAAATTAAAATCTTTAAAAAAAACACAACACAAAGACAGCTCTATTCTATTATGAGCACCTTGAAAGACCAAAACTCTATTTCATCTTTGCTTCCTATAGCTTGCAAAACCAAAGCCAACCTAAAGATTTCTGTGATAGAGATCCACACTAAGGTAAAGGTTTCTTCCTACATTTCAGACCATGCAACGCACTAGGTGCCACCTCTGGGGAGCAACGGTAACATCTTTGTTACTGCGAATATTTTTGTGCTTTTATTATAATTTGTTGAGCCCAAGTTGCCCTTTTCGAATATTTATTATGATCATCTTTTGACTAATGGTAACAGAGTATCTTATTTCCAAAAAACTACAGTATTATGCAACGAACATTGTCCTAATGAAGTCAACATATCACATTCTGACTTAAGAGAAGTGAAGTCACGAATAGTGAGATTGCGTTGATGCAACAGCATCTAAAATAACCTGTGCTCCTCAACAGGCTTCTGTAGGATAGGTAATCACCTTAAAAATCAAGCAATCTCATTGGTATTGCTGCACACTAGCTAAGGTTTTGCAGTTCTTATTGTTTGCCATTTGTGTAAAGTACCAGCAAGGTATTGCAGAGTTCCAGTTTTAAGGATAATGAGACAAATCATGCTATAATAATATTTACTAAATGAAATCCACTTGTAAAAATTAAAATATCCATTTGTATAACCAGTATAACTTTTATAACATGTTTATTTATAGAGGAAACATAAAACATACCAACTTAAATATCTTTTTTTCTTATTTACACATGATATCACATGATATTTTAAGTATCATAACTAATAATGAGGGCACCTGGATGGCTCACTGGTTGAGGTTGTGATCCCAGGGTTCTGGGATTGAGTCCCACATCAGGCTTCCTCATGGAGCCTGCTTCTCCCTCTGCCTCTCTCTCTGTCTCTCTTAGGAATAAAGAAATAAAATCTAAAAAATACTAAGATAACGAATTTCTTTTCAGACAATACTGCCTCACATTTTAAATTACCAAAAATAACTTCTCAAATTCTGAATCCTATACTATTAAGAAAGAAATTAAGAAACAAAACAAATACCCATGCAATTTACACATTGGATTTGTTTTGTTTTTTCATTGCTCTTTCATTATCAAAACTGCCTTACTCTGACTTCATCTATGTTAGGACCACCGTAAGTAATTCACTCTAAAAAATCGTACCTAGATCATGATTCTCTGAAGAATTTTCGGGTTTCATTTCTTCTTCATGTTCAGAAATTAGTTGGTCATTGCTACGTATAAGAAAGAGTGACAACCAATGTGACTTTTTTAATACTGATATGAAAAACATTTACCAGATATATCAAATTCTTAAGATTTTTCAAACAATATCAGGGTTAACATCAAAACTTAAATTACCCCATAGGTACTTCAAATTTGTTAGTTCTAAAAACTTTTTTTATTAAGTATGTAATTATAATTAAAGGAGAAACAAAAGTAAGGTGAACCAGTCATGAGTTGAGGGCATTATAGCTCAGTAAACTAAGAGTTAGCCTGCCATAATGGAAAGTGTCTCAAATCCCAAAGTCCTAGCTCTAAAACCAGCAGCTTTTTGTTCTTGGACCAGCCACTTCTCTTCCACTCAAAGTCTTCCTCTATAAAACATGAATCTTACCATCTTATATTACAAGGCCGTTAGGAGGATTTAATGAGGTATTATATACCCAAAACGTGGCCTCTCAGGCAAGGTGATGCCCACAACTCTGGGAAGGGCAATATGAGACCTTCCATGACCTAATAAGAAAAGGTATTCCACAGGATTTAAAGCAGGCTTGGGGGGCAGCCCGGGTTGCTCAGTGGTTTAACACTGCCTTCAGCCCAGGACGTGATCCTGGAGACCCAGGTTCGAGTCCCACGTCGGGCTCCCTGCATGGAGCCTGCTTCTCCGCCTCTCTCTCTCCCCCTCCTCTCTGTGTATTCTCATGAATAAATAAAAATAATATCTTTTAAAAAAATTAAAAAAAATAAAGCAGTCTTCGAGTACGGATGTAGGAACAAAAGGGAAAGGAAAGTCCAGTCTCTTCCTGTAGTGTTATTTGAACTTCTTTAATAGTTTAGAATGGTCCCTACTAAAATCTGCTAGCAGAAAAGACAAACAAAATCCTTGAAGGTTAATTCATCATGAAGGTCTGGGCTAATATATGGTTTCCACGTAAAGTTTTTGAATGTGAAGGGAAGGGTGTATGGGGCTAAAGCCAGGAGGTCCAGCTGTCGGAACAGCACGCCAGTGGCTTTGGAAGAGCAGCTGAGCATATAAGCATAGGTAATAAACAAAAAAAGGTTTAAGTTTGAATTCTAAGTGTGGATCACCATGAGGACTGAGGAATGCGGATCAGCAAGGGCATCCTATTAGCAAAAGTCAATCATGACTGGACTGCAGAACCAGTTTCAATAGCAATGCTGCAGGAACAGAATCAAAGGAAACCACAGAATGATGAGCATGTCCCTTTTTCCATCCAAATGGCTTATAAAAGAGGACTGCCTCTCCGGTCTTAGGGAAATCCTTAGGTTCTTGGAAAATTCAAGGGGGAAAGTATAGGTGATAACCCACAAGGAAGAGTATAGAGTTTTCTGTGAAACTGAACATCTTAGGACACAAGTAATTAGTTAGTAAAAACAGACGTTGAGGTGCCTGGGTAGTTCAGTCAGTTAAGCATCTGCCTTTGGCTCAGGTCATAGTCTCAGGATCCAGCCCTGTGTTGGGCTCCCAGCTCAGCAGAGTGTCGGATTCTCCTTCTCCCTCCACCCCCTCCTCCTCACTTGTGCTCACTCTCTCTCAAATAATCAATCAATCAATCAATCAATCAATCTTTAAAGAAGCACCCAGATATAACATTATGTGAACACCATGCAGAAGGGTTATAGTTGGAATGAAACAGATACAGTGAGGATCCCTAAGGATAAAGGTCTCAAGAGAACTGACATAAAGAATCGTGCACCCATTGCTACTTCTAACTAGTCTAGCCTTTTGCTTGGTTTCTGGGTGATGATAGGCTCTAACTCACTGCCATCCCAAAGTGCCTGAATCAAATTATACCTTCTCAGCTGTTACATAGGAAGTAACACTATTTTACTGCATTTTAAACCTCAGTTGAGAAATAACTAGCATGTTTTATTTTCACGTTTTAAAAAAGATTTTATTTATTCATGAGAGACAGAGAGAGAGAGAGAGAGAGAGAGAGAGAGAGAAGGCAAAGACATCAGCAGAAGGAGAACCAGACTCCTCACAGGGAGCCAGATGTGGGACTCGATCCCCAGACCCCAGGATCATGCCCTGTGCCCAAGGCAGACGCTCAACCGCTGAGCCACCCAGGTATCCCAGTAATAACTAGCATTTTAATGTAAACACTTACATATTAATACTATTAATAATAGCATATTCTTCTGCAGTCCATCCATATACATCTTAGGAAAACCTTCCTAAAGAGAAGACTGCTATATTTCATGGTTCATCTTTTACAGCATATTTTACAGCAAGCATAAGGGCTATTCTAAAATAAAAGAGAGATAACTTCATCCTTAAGAACTCAAGAGTATGGGATCCCTGGGTGGCGCAGCGGTTTGGCGCCTGCCTTTGGCCCAGGGCGCGATCCTGGAGACCCGGGATCGAGTCCCACATCGGGCTCCCGGTTCATGGAGCCTGCTTCTCCCTCTGCCTGTGTCTCTGCCTCTCTCCCTTTCTCTCTCTGTGACTATCATAAATAAATAAAAATTAAAAAAAAAGAACTCAAGAGTATTTAAGCACCTAATCTGATACACTTCATCAAGGTACTATCTCACATGTTGCTACAGAATTGGCCACTAACATGTCCAAGTGTTCATCTTTGTAAATTAACCCCATGGCTAAAATGAAGGGACAAAAAAGAAGCCTCTGGTTCCACTTGGGTATTATAGTAGAAGTTGCTAATGTAAAACCCTTTGATGAGCAAGAAACTATGCTGAGGTCACTGATCTGAATAGGTGAAGGGTTTTTAAAAAAAATTCCCCATTCTGCGACGTCTGGGTGGCAGAGTGGTTGAGCATCTGCCTTTGGCTCAGGGCGTGATCCTGGAGTTCCAGATCTTTCCTGCTTCTCCCTCTGCCTGTGTGTCTGCCTCTCTCTGTGTGTCTCTCATGAATAAATAAAATCATTTTAAAAATTCCCCATTTTTTCCTTAAACAGGTACAGTGTACCTCCAAGCCACCTGGAGGCCACGTCGGTATAAAAGCTATCTATAGGCTTAAAACAGTAATATTCACACTAATGAAAAGAAAACAGTCATAGTTGCAATTAATGATGCTAAGTTAAGCATGTGGTAGGCACTAAATTACATTATATATATACACACACACACATTTATATATATATGTATATACCCACACATATATATAGAAAAATATTATTTACACACAACCACCCTTGAAGGATATATTATTATCCTCCTTTTCATATCAGGAAAGGTATCTGGTGATGGTAAGTAATGTTTCCAAGGTCACATACACTGCAAGGAGGCAAGCTAAGAATTAAACCTAGTCTTCGGTGAAGCTAAAGTCCATATCTGTTCTCTTTATCACTCACCTATGATTTCTCCTCATTAAAGGAAGAGTCTATTTACCTAAGTTTCTCTTTCATCCTTCAATCCATTCCAATTAAAAATGAAAATGATAAAACATACTGGACATGAAAAGAAAAAGAATAAAAACTGATGAACCCAGAGTATCTGGTAATGGTAATTAACCACTTTGGGATCATCTAACAACATCAGTATTCTTCACAAAAAGTAATAAAGAGTCAATAAAAAAAATAAACAACTCCTACTTATGCTTATTATGCATCTTTTAAAGTAATAAAGAGTCAATAAAAAAAACAACTCCTACTTATGCTTATTATGCATCTTTTAAAGAAAAGTATGAAATAGAATCTTAAAAAATATTAATAAAAGAGTTCAGATATCCAGAACTGTGTCTTAAAGTAAACTACAAGTTAGGAGTCCCCATTATAAAACTAATAATATTAATATGAAACCCTTTTGGCTAATATAAAATCCTATGGCAAAAAAATTATTGCAAATGACATCAATCAATATTACAAAGAAATATGAATTCTGCTATACACTGTTCATGTTGCCCTGTCAGAATAATTGCTTTCTACCTAAGAGATGACATCCTGACATTTTTCACTATATGACTACAACTTAATCCTCTTAATAAGATAAAGTTTATGACACGAGAAATTGTTACCACTTGAGACAAAATACTAAGGTTTAAAAAATAAAACAAAACAAAAAAATACTGTACCTTATAACCTTATCCCCTGCAGGTAGACTTGCTCCTTTTCCTACTAAAAATTTCACCATTTGCTCTTTGTTTTCATTTAGAGCAACTAAAACTGGTGTGAGGTCATCCTGTAAAAGTGCAAAAAAAAACTTATAATTTATAAAATTACATATTTGCATGCTAAATTTTAAAACTACTACACATTCCTCTAAACTTAAAACATATACTGTAGAAAGTAAATAAAATTAGCCCCTTCCCTCTCACGCCTCTGTGTTTTTACCACCTGCTCCTTCTTTTTAAAAGACTGCTTTCTCAGGGAGTGTGGGTGGCTCAGTTGGTCAAGCATCTGCCTTCAGCTCATGAGGTCAGGTCATGATCCCAGGGTCTCAGGATGGAACCCTACCTTGAGCTCCCTCTGCAGCAAGGAGTCAGCTTCTCCCTCCCCCTCTGGCCCTCCCCTCCACTCGTGCGCTCTCTCCTGCTTGCTCGCTGGCTCTCTCAAAAACATAAAATATTTTTAAAAAGTAAAATAAAAATAAATAGACCTCCACTACCTCTTCAACAGATTACCTGCACTCATTCAACAAACTCGCTTCAAACATTGTCTGGCTCCAAGAATCTATGCTTCTCTCACAATATATACCATGGTATACACTATTCCACACCATCTAAGACCCATGCATCAGGCTACCTGGCTCAGTGGGAAGGCCTGTTCTTCCCATCCTTCTGCCTTTAAGCCCAAATTGTGTTTGCTCTCTCTCATCCTCTCTTTTTCTCAAATAAATGAAATACTCAAAAATACGAAGTATCATTATTTAAAGTGAAAACTTAGACAATTATTTCAAAATATTTTCATTCAGGAAATGCTTGAGCTTCCAAATATGAAAAATCAACCCTAACTATGGCACACAACAGTGTTTCTGCAAGGGCAGCCACTGAAGGTAATGCACATCAAAGAAAGAGCAGGGAGACTGGCAAATGTGGTCATCACCAGCTCCCCATGGACACCCACCACCCCAGTGAGGAACTACATAGGCTGAGCAGGAGCTACTCTCCAGAATGGGAGACCTCACCATGGTACATGGCTGGCAGAGTGGCTACCAGCACAAGTAGATGCCCCTGTAAGATGTCATGACCTGATCCCCCTTGCTTCTGAACCTTAGGGCCTAGAACGCCCACGGCCTATTACAACCAGCTGCTTTCTCCTCCCATTTACACTCACCCAAGCTACTCCTCTGGGTCACGGTCTCCTATTCATTCCCAGAAGCATCCATTTCCTAAGACCCTGCACAGCACTCACCCTCCATCATCACCACACTCCCCTCTAGGCCTTCAATCCTTTGTGGGCTCTGAGCGCACCATCTACTTCCAGGCACTAATACGACAAGATTATTACTGGGGAGGAAGGGGGCCTGGGAGGTGGATCTTAGATTTTACACACTCATTACTTTTCTCTAGCCCTCCCCCTGCCTTGGTTTTGGAGTTATTTCCATGATGACAGGACCTGATGTATAAAATTCAGGGTCTCTGTGTGTATGTATATATGAAAATACATAATAAAATCTTTGCAGATATAGATATGTATCTAATGTCAAATACATTGTAAAAAAAGTTGATCTGTACCTTGTTTTTGGCCTCTATATCTGCTTTGTGTAAAAGCAGCTCCTCTACTATTGAGAAATTCTCCTCGAACACCGCATAATGGAGAGCGGTGTTGCCCTTGTCGTCCGTAATATTTGGATCAGCACCCTGTCCCAGCACAATACTTGCACATTCCTTTTGTTGGCATTCTATAGCCTGTAAGCATTACACCAAGAAACAGAATGTAAATTCTGGGAATTTGAAGGAAACATGCCAGAGGCTTCACCAAAGAGTTATGTTTAAATGCAACAAATGTTCATTCCAAGAACTGATTGGGATTCCAACCCAATCCATCTCAGGCAGACATAGCTGTGACCACGCACCTTCATTAGAGCTGTCCTGTTTTCTTCATCACGGAGGTTGAGCTCGCATTTCAAATACATCAGGAGACGCACAATATATACATGGCCATTGGCACAGGCCAAGTGGAGAGCAGACCTATGAAAGTGAAAGGAGTTGTCAGGAAATTACACTGTACTATTTCAAAACACAAAATTAATTCATATAATTGTAAATTTTAGGGAGCCATGTTTTTCTCATGACTCCAAAACAAAGAATTATTATTCGTTTAAAGAAAGTACAATATTTATTAGTGATTATTCACCACTCTATTAAAAGAGCAGCCTATCTGTTTAGGAAGAGCATGACCTCAGGAGGCAGCTCAAGCTGAGTATGATTCCTGTTTGTACTCTGTCACATAATTGCTATCACTTATAATTATCGCAATTTCCTCATCCACAAAATGAGCATAAACATAGTTATCTCGGGTCACCTGTCTGGCTCACTCTGAAGAGCATGTGACTCGATCTCGGGAGCCAGGGGTTCGAGCCCCCTGTTGGTTATAGAGGTTACCAAATAGTAATAATAAATAAAATAAAAGGTAGTTATCTCACAAGACCTCTTGTCGTGATCCTTAAATGAGGATCCACGCAAAGTGTTTAGAATACTAGTTCATAGCACAAGTATTATTATAACTATTTCTACAACTTACAAAGACCCACTACAATTAGGTAAAATGATCCAATTATGCCTACTTTGCAGCTACGTTTAAGGATGAGCAAGAATACTCTATTTCAATGATTCTAAGATGCTCATTTTTGTCACCTTTTAATATCTCTGACATTGGAATCCAATTTCTAATTCAACATGTCTTAAAACTATAGCTGGCATGATTTTTAAAAATTTCTTCTTGGTACATAAATAGTGGGGCATCATACAATCTACGGTGCCTTAAATGAAATAATGACATATACAACAGGTCTGTTGCACTTCTAGTCATATGCTTGGAATTACACTGTTCAAGAACTAAAATAATTTTCAGTAGTTGAAAGCATTATGGGTAAAAGAGACTAGAATAACAAAAGGATATTTTTAAGTAATTCTTACTTCGGTTTTCAAGGAAGTTTAAGCCAAAAGAAACTCAGGATTCAAATAAACGGGGACAGCTCATTTTATTTTCCGGGGGGGGGAGGGGGGGGCGGTGGGGAAGCTCATTTTATTAAGCATATTTTAATTAATAGAAAATGTTTAGAGTCATAGAAATCAAGTATTTCCAATTACCAATATTAGTATTCAATATTATTGAAATGTCAAAAGGGCAGGTAAAGGTAATCTTTTACAATTTCCGATCTTCAGAAATGTTTTCCTTTGACAGGAAGTTCCAAGGAAAAGCTTCACGTGAGATTAAGTCTTAATACTTCCATTTAAAATTTCTCACCTTAGGGGCACCTGGGTGGCTCAGTTGATTGAGTGTCCAACTTTTGGTTTTGGCTCAGGATGATCTCAAGGTCGTAAGATGGAGCCCCACATTAGGCTCCATGCTCAGGGTGGAGTTTGCTTCGGTTCCTCTCTCTCCCTCTGTCCCTCCCCTCTCCCCCCATCTTTTAACATTTACAAAATAAAATAAAATTTCTCATCTTAGGATTGCCTGGCTGGCTCAGTCAGTAGAGCATGTGTCCTTAAACGTCGAGCCCCACGTTGGGTAGAGAGATTACTATTTCTGATTCGCTAGCGGAATAGAAAAGAATGCATTTGCCGTATCAGTGGTGACATACCATGTACCCGACATCTTATTACTCTGTTCTGGAAGCAATAGGAGGCGCACAATAACTATGGAACGACTCTTTGTTCAAGTTGACAGTAACTACAGATATTTGCCACAATCTATCCAGTCTCTAAATGGGCCAGACTAGTGACTCAAGCAGAAATGTGATAGAGCTCACCAGCCTTTCATCCTTTAGCACTATCCCACTGCATAGCTCTCCTAGCACTATCCCTCTGCATCTCTCCTAGGATGCAGGGTTGTTTTTGGTTTACCCTACCACATGAAGGCTTGGAGACCATTTCAGAGGTTTCTGCTTGGACTCTTTAATTTTTTTTTTATCAATTATATTTCCTTATTCAGGAGAGACACAGAAAGAAAGGCAGAGACATAGGCAGAGGGAGAAGCAGGCTCCCTGCTGGGAGCCCGATGTGGGGCTCAATTCCCAGACTCTGGCATCATGCTCTGAGCTAAAAAACTAACAATTTTGACAAGAAACACTTTAAGCTACTGTAAAAATCATACAGCAAAAAAACTATTGCAAATGACATCAATCTATAATACAAAGGATCCTGTATTATACTATACAATGTTCTTCACGTTGTCCTGTCAGAATTCTTTTCTACCTAACCGATCACATGCTGACATTTTTCACTATACCTGTAAGTTAATACTCTTCTTATTAAGTTAAACTTTCTGCCTTCAGAAATTATTTCCACTCTTGACCAAATACTAAGATTCACACGCACAAAAAAAAAAAAATTTACCTTTTAGCGTTGTCAACTACATTTACATTTGCTTCTTCTTCTACTAAAATTGTCGCCATGTCCTCTTTGTTCTCATTTGCAGCAAGTAAAAGTGGTGTGAAGCCATCCTGTAAAGTGGAAACAAATTTATAATTTACAAAATTACACATTTGGATAATGAATCATAAAAATTCTAAACCATCCTGTAACATAAACATGTAAAATAGAAAGTAAATAAAATTAGCCCCATCGTTCTCAACTCTCCACGGTTTCACCAGCTGCTCCTTCTTTTTAAAATACTGCTTTCTCAGGGAGTGTGGGTGGCTCAGTTGGTCAAGCATCTGCCTTCAGCTCATGAGGTCAGGTCTAGATCCCAGGGTCTCAGGTTGGAAGGAAGTAGCCAGTATCAAACGTGAGCTCTGGCAGAGATAATATTTTTACATCTCTAAATTTGTATATGTATACTTACCCATTCAGTAGTTCTTAGCCAAGAGTTGTATCAGAATCTCAAAAAACTAATCCAAAATTCTGGGTACACATGTTATTGGATTTACTCCGTCGAAAGCTTCACGGGACAGTTTTGGCTTGTAGATTCTTTTAAAGTTCCCTGTTGACTGTGATTCACCAGCACAATTCTAGCTGAGAACTAGTTCAGTACACAACCACGTCAGTCTCCTCTTTCACCTATGTGGCCAATTCTCCCTATCACTTGAGGATTCCGCCAAAAACAGAAATGAGTCATTTATCAAACCTGCATTCAATTTCCATGGCTAGAGGTTATAACAAGGACCAGTAAACTCAAAAATGCAACTTGATTCCATTATTTACACACTCCTTACTTTCCATCAAGACACTCTAGATTTGCAAGCAGAGTTTAGAGTTTTGTCTAAGTGGCTATTGCTGCCAAATACGATACTATGTCAGTTGATTATTTGTTCTTTCCTCTTCTTGGCCACTTTTTTAATAAATATTTTTATTTACCCATTCATGAGAGACTGAGAGAGAGAAAGAGAGAGAGAGAGAGAGAGAGAGAGAGAGAGAGAGGGAGGGAGAGAGGGAGAGACACAGGCAGAGGGAAAAGCAGGCTCCACTCGAGTAGCCTGATGTGGGACTCGATCCTGGGACCACGGGATCATACCCTGAGCTGAAGGCATATGCTCAATCGCTGAGCCGCCCAGGTGACCCTCTTCTTGCCCACATAATCAACCATCTGTTCACTGCCAATCTGATTTCCTCAGAGTCCTCCTAGAATTCATCTCTAGACAAGTTTACAACACACTCACTGGTTCCTAAAGTAAGAATTATTATCCCTGCAAATTGAAGACACCTTGCCTAAACATAAAAACCGAAGAAAGACAAACACAATAAAAAAAAAAAAAAAACCTCTTCTAGTTATTTCCCCTCATTTGCCGATTTTCCAAATTGCTCGGCATATTTCTGACTCCTTTCTCCTTTTCCCCTCTTAAGTCAAGGCTGATAAAAGATAAACTCCGACCCTGTTAATAAATCGCTTTTTGATCAAATAGGAACTTCTCGACGGCAGCAAGAGTTGATACTGTAAAACACATTTGTTTTGTGTTTTAAGACAAAGCGTGTTTCCAACGCAAATTTTGCTTTCCTCTGTTGTTTGGCACTAAATAATAAAACAAACTGGGTCAGAAAAAAATTTTTGAAAATAAAGTTTCAGAACACATTCTGTGTTCTCATAAATATTTGCCATAAGTACATAAAAGAAAGCTGCATTCTCTAATGCTTCTTCAGAGATATCATTCTTTAGGGGCAACTGAGTGGCTCAGTCTGTTGAGCATCTGACTCTTGGTCTAAACTCAGGTGATGATCACAGTCATAAGATCCAGCCCTGAGCCAGGCTCAGCGCAAAGTCTACTTCAGATTCTCACCCTCTTTCTTTCCCTCTGCCCCCACACCACCCCCTGCTTGCACATGCTCGCTCACTTCCTCTAAAATAAATAAAATCTCACGGCTGAGTAATATTCCATTGCATACATATACCACGGATTGAAACAAAAAATACCCACCATCTGCTTCAACATGGATGGAACTGGAGGGTATTATGCTGAGTGAAGTAAGTCAATCAGAGAAGGACAAACATTATATGGTCTCATTCATTTGGGGAATATAAAAAAGTGAAAGGGAATAAAGGGGAAAGCAGAAAAAACGAGTGGGAAATATCAGTGAGGGCGACAGAACATGAGAGACTCCTAACTCTGGGAACCAAACAAGGGGTGGTGGAAAGGGAGGTGGGTGGGGGGTTGGGTTGACTGGGTGACGGGCACCAAGGGAGGGGGGCACTTGACAGGACAAGCACTGAGTGCTGTGCTATACGTTGGCAAACTGAACTCCTACTAAAAAAAAATTTTAAAAAGAAAAAACAAAAAGATAAAATAAATAAATAAACAAACCCCGGAAGGAAGGAAGGAAGGAAGGAAGGAGGAAGGAAGGAAGGAAGGAAGGAAGGAAGGAAGGAAGGAAGGAAGGATGGATGGATGATGGTGAGCCTGGGTGGCTCAGTGGGTCAAACATCTCCCTCTAGTTATGGTCATGATCCCACTCCTGACATCAAGCCCCGTGCATCAGGCTACCTGGCTCAGTGGGAAGGCCTCTTCTTCCCCTACCTCTGCCTTTCCTCCCTACTCATGTGTGCTCTCTCTCATGCTCTCTTTCTCTCAAATAAATAAAGTCTTCAAAAATAAAAGGTATTGTTATTTAAAGCAAAAGCTTAGACAATTATTTCAAAATATTTTCATTCAGGAAATGCTTGAGCTTCCAAATATGAAAAATGGACCCTATCTATGGCATGCAACAGTGTTTCTGCAAGGGCAGCCACTGAAGGTAATGCACGTCAAAGAAAGCACAGGGAGACTGGCGAGTGTGGTCATCACCAGCTCCCCATAGACACCTACCACCCCACTGAGGAACTACACAGGCTGAGCAGGAGCTACTCTCCGGAATGGGAGACCTCACCGTGGTACATGGCTGACAGAGTGGCTACCAGCACAAGTAGATACCCCCTGTAGGATGTCATGACCTGATCCCCTTGCTCTCATCTTCTGAACCTTAGGGCCTAGAGCGCCCATGGCCTATTACAACCTCCTGCTTTCTCCTCCCATTTACACTCACCCAAGCTACTCCTCTGGGTCACGGTCTCCTACTTATCCCCAGAAGCATTCATCTCCTAAGCCTCCGCACAGCATTCGGCCTCCATCATCACCACACTCCCCTCTACGCCTTCAATCCTTTCTGGGCTCTGAGAGCACCATCTACTCCCAGGCACTAATGGGAAGATTTTCTTTCTGGGGTGGAAGGGTGGCTAGCAGACAGAAAGGTGCCTTTCTATATGCATTACTTTTCTCTTTCCCTCCCCCGCCTTGGTTTTGGAGTTGTTTCCATGATGACAGGACCTGATGTATAAAATTCCGTGTCCATGTGTTCATATATATGTGCCTATGTACATATATATGTACATATACATATATATAAAAAAAACCTTTGAAGCTATATATATATATATATTTTTTTTTAGAACATCAAATACTTTGTAAAAAAAAAAGTTAATCTGTACCTTGTTTTTGGCCTCTTTATCTGCTTTGTGTAAAAACAGCTTCTCTGCCATTGAGAGGTTTTCCACTAAAGTCGTATAATGGAGAGCGGTGTTGCCCTCGTTGTCCATAATATTTGGATCAGCACCATGTTCCAGCACAATAGTTGCACATTCCTCTTCTTGGCACTTTATAGCCTGTCAGCATTACACCAAGAAACAGAATGTAAATTCTGGGAATTTGAAGGAAACATGCCACAAGTTTCACCAATGAGTTATGTTTAAAGGCAAAAGTCTTGTCACAAAAGTCAATTTTTAAGATGAATGTTAAGTATTAACATAGCATTGGAAACATTTGATTGATATTTAATATGTAGTTACAGCAGATTTCTCCTTCTCTTTTTTTTAATTTTTATTTATTTATGATAGCCACAGAGAGAGAGAGAGAGAGAGAGAGAGAGAGAGAGAGAGAGGGGCAGAGACACTGGCAGAGGGAGAAGCAGGCTCCATGCACTGGGAGCCCGACGTGGGATTCGATCCCGGGTCTCCAGGATCGCGCCCTGGGCCAAAGGCAGGCGCCAAACCGCTGAGCCACCCAGGGATCCCGATTTCTCCTTCTCTTATAAATGATTCAGGGTCAATACCTTAAATGGAACATTAGGATATCTATTTGTTTTTTTCCTAGGTAGAAAAACCTCATAGAATGAGCCTGTGTTACACATTTCAGTGATCCTACTTTCTGAAAAGTAATGGTTAATCTCGATACTCTAGGTAAAAGAAAAAAAAATGTTCATTCCAAGTACTTCAATCCAATCCAATTCAGGCAGACATATCTGTGACCACGCACCTGCATAAGAGCTGTCCTGTTTTCTTCATCACAGAGGTTGACCTGGCATTTCCGGTCTATCAGGAGTTTCACCATATCTACATGGCCATTGGCACAGGCCAAGTGGAGAGCAGACCTATGAAAGTGAAAGGAGTTGTAAGGAAATTACACTGTACTATTTCAAAACACAAAATTAATTCATATAATTGTAAATTTTAGGGAGCCATGTTTTTCTCATGACTCCAAAACAAAGAATTATTATTCGTTTAAAGAAAGTACAATATTTATTAGTGATTATTCACCACTCTATTAAAAGAGCAGCCTATCTGTTTAGGAAGAGCATGACCTCAGGAGGCAGCTCAAGCTGAGTATGATTCCTGTTTGTACTCTGTCACATAATTGCTATCACTTATAATTATCGCAATTTCCTCATCCACAAAATGAGCATAAACATAGTTATCTCGGGTCACCTGTCTGGCTCACTCTGAAGAGCATGTGACTCGATCTCGGGAGCCAGGGGTTCGAGCCCCCTGTTGGTTATAGAGGTTACCAAATAGTAATAATAAATAAAATAAAAGGTAGTTATCTCACAAGACCTCTTGTCGTGATCCTTAAATGAGGATCCACGCAAAGTGTTTAGAATACTAGTTCATAGCACAAGTATTATTATAACTATTTCTACAACTTACAAAGACCCACTACAATTAGGTAAAATGATCCAATTATGCCTACTTTGCAGCTACGTTTAAGGATGAGCAAGAATACTCTATTTCAATGATTCTAAGATGCTCATTTTTGTCACCTTTTAATATCTCTGACATTGGAATCCAATTTCTAATTCAACATGTCTTAAAACTATAGCTGGCATGATTTTTAAAAATTTCTTCTTGGTACATAAATAGTGGGGCATCATACAATCTACGGTGCCTTAAATGAAATAATGACATATACAACAGGTCTGTTGCACTTCTAGTCATATGCTTGGAATTACACTGTTCAAGAACTAAAATAATTTTCAGTAGTTGAAAGCATTATGGGTAAAAGAGACTAGAATAACAAAAGGATATTTTTAAGTAATTCTTACTTCGGTTTTCAAGGAAGTTTAAGCCAAAAGAAACTCAGGATTCAAATAAACGGGGACAGCTCATTTTATTTTCCGGGGGGGGGGGGGGCGCGGTGGGGAAGCTCATTTTATTAAGCATATTTTAATTAATAGAAAATGTTTAGAGTCATAGAAATCAAGTATTTCCAATTACCAATATTAGTATTCAATATTATTGAAATGTCAAAAGGGCAGGTAAAGGTAATCTTTTACAATTTCCGATCTTCAGAAATGTTTTCCTTTGACAGGAAGTTCCAAGGAAAAGCTTCACGTGAGATTAAGTCTTAATACTTCCATTTAAAATTTCTCACCTTAGGGGCACCTGGGTGGCTCAGTTGATTGAGTGTCCAACTTTTGGTTTTGGCTCAGGATGATCTCAAGGTCGTAAGATGGAGCCCCACATTAGGCTCCATGCTCAGGGTGGAGTTTGCTTCGGTTCCTCTCTCTCCCTCTGTCCCTCCCCTCTCCCCCCATCTTTTAACATTTACAAAATAAAATAAAATTTCTCATCTTAGGATTGCCTGGCTGGCTCAGTCAGTAGAGCATGTGTCCTTAAACGTCGAGCCCCACGTTGGGTAGAGAGATTACTTAAAAATGAAAGCATTAAAAACTAAATGCCTAAGATTTCTCATCTTGCTCATACTGGCAACATGAAGTCTTTTTAAGATTGAAAAGATCCTGAGTAGACTATGTCTGCTACATATCCTGTGTTCAGGTTCTGTTTGGGAAATAAAGGGACTGAAGAATAAATACATTTGGAGAGTTCAATAGTATTTTTTATCTATTAATATATATACTATATTTAATATATCTACTTAAAGATACATTAGATTTTTTATCTATTAATATATATATTATATTTAATATATCTATTTAAAGATATATTAGATTTATCTATTTCTTTGAGAAAAAGAGAATGCATGAGTGTGGTGAAGGGCAGACGGAGAGGGAGACAATCTCAAGCAGCCTCCCCATTGAACATGGAGCCCGACAGGGGGCTCAACCCCACAATCCAAAATCATGACCAGAGCCAAAATCAAGAGTCTGATGCTCAACAAACAGCCACCAAGACACCAGGAAAGTTCAGTACTTTTAAAGAAAACTTTTGTAAAGTAAACTAATACTTTTGAAATAGAAATAAAAATTTATATTTGCTACTTTTTTTCAGAAGAGGGAAACAAAAATTCTATAAGCTATCGCAATATCATTTGTATTTTTTATTTTCATAAGGATTTAACTAAAATGAAATTGTTAATCATTTACTTATTACACGTTATAAAGCCGCACATAACAAAATCATACGTATATATTTAATGTATGCATAATAAAATCTACAATACAGATAAAAATATTCTCCTTACTTCTGAAGAGGCTAAATAAAGGTTGTCAGAAAATAACAATCCTCGCCCATCAAATTTTTTTAAATAGAAAGAGGGGCACCTGGGTGACTCAGTCAGTTAGGCATCTGCCTTTGGCTCAAGTCATGAACCTCGGGGGTCCTGGGATCGAGTCCTACGTCATCAGGCTCCCTGCTCCACAGGGTTTCTGCTTGTCCCCCTGCTGCTTGTGTGCCTGATTTCTCCCTCTCAAATAAATCAGTGAAGCCTCTTAAAAGTAAATAAATAGAAATTCTTTTTGTCTCTACAACAAGATTCATATTCTTGCTGTTCTCCTGGATTACTTCATTGATAATAAACCTTTGTTGGAATTTTTATATACCTTAAAATGTATATTTTATATACATTAAAATGTATATATATTTTTATATACCTTTTATAAAATGTATGTATATTTTATATACCTTAAAATGTGTATTTTATATACCTTAAAAATGTGTATTTTTGTCTTTTTGTCTCTACAACAAGATTCATATTCTTGCTGTTCTCCTGGATTACTTCATTGATAATAAACCTTTGTTGGAATTTTTATATACCTTTTCCTGTAGAAATCAGAGACTTCTTTTTTAAGAAACAAGAAAACTAGTTTTATATTTTGCACATCTTTTTGGCTAACACAAAACCATTGTCTGTCTGCTTATGTGTTTGTATCATCAAATCAATTGTTTCCCCTCATTTAATGATCCACTAAAGTACAGCTTTGCATGTTAATGTGTATCAATTATCTTTGCCACATTCAGTGGTCACATAGTAGTCCAGCCTATGGATACACTGCCTATAATTTATACAGGCCATTAGATGAGTTCTTAATACATTGCTATTGTAAATAGTGCTGAGAAAAGCATATTGTATATTGTTTATCTTTAATTATTTACTAAAGATATTTTACATCAGTAAAATTCATGGGTAAAAGGAATACTTATTTTCCAATTGGGACTTAACCACCAAACTATCCGAAAAGTCAAAAACAACTTTAACCAGGAGTATAAGTACCATCATTCTTTATCTTCACAAAGCTTGCAGATGGAAAATGGGATTTTATTCCTTTTTTATTTTCGTTTTTTTTTTTTTTAACTTATTTGACAGAGAGAGAGCACCAGCAGAGGGGAGGGGCCGAGGGAAAAGCAGACTCCCCACTGACTAGGGAGCCTCACCAGGGGCTGAATCCCAGGACCCAGAGATCATGACCCCGAGAGGAAGTCGGAAGCAGCCAACTGATTGAGCCACCCAGAGGCCCCCCTATTTCATTCCTTTAATACCTTCCCTGAAAAACAAAGACTTTTTTTTTATCTGATACACATATGTTATAAATATTTTGCAAGGACATTCTTTTATTATATTATTTTCTGATATACAGAGAGTTTTAATTTTTTATGTGGCTGAATCAACCTCCAGAACTCTTGCTTTTATTTATTTATTTTTTTTTAAGATTTTCTTTATTTGTGAGAGACACGGGGGGAGAGAGGGAGGCAGAGACACAGGCAGAAGGAGAAGCAGGTTCCATGTAGGGAGCCCAACGTGGGACTCGATCCTGGGTTCTCCAGGATCAGGCCCTGGGCTAAAGGCAGCGCTATACCCCTGAGCCACCTGGGCTGCCCGAACTCTTGCTTTTAAAGTCATTCTTAGAATGGTCTTTGTCAACATAAAAAAAATGGGCACAGAAGCATTCGTGTTTTCTTCTTTTGTACTGTATTTTGCAGATTTAACATTTTTAATCTGTATTCCATCTGGAACTTATTTTTATGAGATAAAATTCTAGCTAGTTTTCTCCAAATAGCAGATATGTCATCAACATTATGAATGATTCACCTTTTCCTACTAATATGAAATGTCACCGGCATCAAGTTATAAAGTCTTAACATACACTTAGGTGTTTGGCATTTTCTTACGTGTTCCATTCATTTATCCGTCTTTTCAGCTGTTAGTCAACGAATAATTTGCGGAAATTTAAGGTACATTTTAATAACTAGAAGGTATTCTATAAAAAGAATTTTTTTAAGTATTCTAGTTCCAGTTTGTTAACATACAGCGTTGTATTAGGTGCAGGTGTACAATATAGTGAGTGATTGCAAAATTTTTCTGCATTTTATCACAATGAAAAGAACAGAGACCGCACATATAAGCTCAAAATTTCTAAAACCGCAATGTTTCTATTGCGTTGTGGAATACTGATAAACACGGGAAGAGTACACATTTTCAGAAAAATGAGGCTTCCTATTCACAGACAGAACCATCTTCCCAATTCCAAATCTCCTTCCAAGGTCCCTCAGTAAATGACATAGGTACAAACTGTACACAGAAGTCAGATACTGCCCTGTATCCAAAGTAATTCTGGGAATTACTTCTCTCAGCATGCACTCTTTAATAGCACTGGTATAAGATGTCCATTAAAAATAAAATACCATATATACTTAATTTCAGTTCTGTTTTTCTTTTAAGATTTTATTTATTCATGAGAGACAGACAGAGAGAGAGGCAGAGATATAGGCAGAGGGACATGCAGGCTCCCTGCTAGGAACCCGACTGGGGCTCCCAGGACCCAGGATCACGACCTGAACCAAAGGCAGATGCTCACCCACTCAGCCACCCAGGCATCCCCTTAATTTCGTTTCTACTACTATTGAAAATCCATTAAAT